CTGGGTCCCCTCGCTCTGAGTCCCTGCCCTGGTCTCTTCCCAAGGGGGCCTCAGAGAGGGAGCCCCCACCCCTCCACCCCCACCCCTCCCTCCCGCTTGAGCCGGGAGGACAGAGAGGGGCTTTTCTTGGTGGCTTTTATTTAATTCTTCTTAAAACCCAAATGAATTATTATCATTGTTATAAAAGCATCAAAGTGACTACAGTAAAAATCAATCCACAGAAATACATTCCCCGGGGCGGCTCCCGGCCTGAATGCCCTCCAGGGGCCGCCTGGTTTAATGTGCCCCTTGTGCCCAGGGTCACCCTGGGGACGTCTCACCCCGCCCTTCATTTCCAGGGGACGCGGGGAGCCCTGTCCCCCCAGCAAAGCCTCTTCGGGTGAAGAAGAAGGCGCCAGCGGGGGAAGGGACCCAGACGGGAAAGACAAAGAAGAAAGGTGGGCCTGGCGCCTGGAGGAGGGGCCCTGGGTGTGGTGGGGTGTGACCCCGCTTCATGTCACACACAGGGTCTGGGCCAGCTGACAAGGAGCCCCCGGCGAGCTCAGCCGGAACGCAGAAGGCCCCGGAGGCCCTGTTTCTGGTTGGGGACGGCGGCCCCGCGGGGAAAGCCCTGAAGAAGAAAGGTGGGTGGCAGTGGCCTCTGGTGCCCAGACCTGGAGAGGCAGGCCTGGCGGTGGGCGCTGGCACAGGGGGTGCCGGAGTCAGCAGACTTGGGGGCACCTTGACCTCCATTTCAGTAGCCGTGTGCCTCAGGCAGGCTCCGATAATAGTGAGAGAGTAGTCACCTGGGGTTACCCTTGTGGTTGTGGGAAGGGTCCGAGGGAGACATGGCAAACCATGAAGTGCTCCGCCAGGGCTAAGAGGCTTGCGCCTGCTCTGTTCCAGGTGCTCCCAAAGACTCGGAGGAGGAGAGGAAGCGGGAAGAGGGGGAGGAGGAAGACCTGGCAGCTGTGGCGACCAAGAACAGCAACCAGAAGGGCAAAGCCAAAGGAAAAGGCAAAAAGGTGGGGTCCCAGAGGGGCAGGCGGCTACGGTCCCTAAGGGGCGCAGTGGCAAGGGCCTGGCGCCGGGGATTACAGTGTGGGCCTGTGGGCTAGGGCCATGGCATCCCGGGGGCTAGAATCTTGGCTCCCCCTCTGGTGCCAGGAAATGTGGACAAAGGGCGCCAGACTTGTGAGAGCAGAAGAGGCAGTTGTGGGGTCACCAGGCTGGGATTGGCCACCCAGGAGCCTTATGTCCTCTGGTCTCTAGGCACCCCCCTCCCCCGCTGCAGCCAGAGCTGCCCACAGGAAGACACACATTTCCTGGCCCAGGGAAGTGGCCGGTAGACACACATGTACACACCCTTGGGCACACCGACAGCCTGAGAGCCAGCTGTGCGAGGGGCTAAAATATTTCCCCCCGACCGCCCTCGGCCCCCCAAGAGCTGTCTGCTACCCCAACCAGACCTCCTAACCTCCCAGCAACTAAATGGTGTCTGCGGCCTCCAGGACCCTCCTCCAGGCCTCCCAGGGTCCATTCTGACTGGGAATTCTCCAGGGCGGACAGGTCACTGGTCGTTAAATGATTTGCATATTCTCTCCCAAACCCAGGCACCAGCACACACAAACTCAAGTAAGCAGGGGAGAAAGGTCCAACGGGACAGAGAAAGTGATGAGAGACTTTAGAATCTCGTTTCCGGGTGTGGAGATCACCATGAGGCAGGGCCCGGCTCTTTGCTGTGTGGGCCTGTTAATGTGTTCAGGCGTAGTCAGGTCTTTGTTTGTTTATTAGTCCTCACCCTAGGATACTTTTCTATTCATATTTTTAGGAAGAGTGGGAAGGAGGGAGAGGGGGTGTGGGGACATCAATGTGAGAGAGACACATCGATGGGCTGCCTCCTGCACGTGCCCCACCTGGATGGGGATCAAACCAGCAACCCAGGCACCTGCCCTTGACTGGGAATCAACCCCAAGACCCTTCGGTGCAGGGCCAGGCGTGGTCCGATCGGGAGGGCTGAGTCACATTAGCCAAGGTCACCGGATACTGATGTATAGACGGGGAGGCAGCTTATTCTGTCCGGGGAGGAACAGAACTGGAGGCAGCACAGCCTGCCATGCAGGAGGCCCTGGAAGTTCGCAGCTATAGAAATGCTTGAATAAGCTCTGGCTTTCTCCAGCTCGCATTCCAGACATACTCTTGTGTTTCACAAGTTTCTTCTGGAGCAACCTCGAGTGGAGAGGAGAGGCTCGCTCGCCCGCAGGCCAAGGGCCTCCCTCACACACGGCAAACCTGCCCTCAGCAAAAATGCCCGAGCACCGCGTCAGAGCTCACGGAGAGCCTCGGCCCTCCAGCGCACCCTCCCTCGCTGGTCCCTTCTCTCCCCGTCGCTGGGAGGCTTAGGGTTAGGGCCTCCGCTCCCCCTGTTGTGAGGGCAAGAACCTGAGGGCAAAGGGCACCAGGTTTGTGAGAACAGAGGGGCCAGTGCAACCAAATGGTTACTTTTCCCATGTGCTTCTCTATTCATTGCTTTGACCGTGTGTTACCAGATAACAAACCACCCTAAGAATTAGTGTCTTAAAAAACAAACATTCGTTTTCTTCATTTCTTCACGGAGTCGAAATCCTTGGAACAGCGTAGCAGGGCAGTTCTGGCTCAGGGGCCTCTGCGTTGCTGCAGGACGGCACCTGAAAGCGTGGCTGGGAATGCAGGACCCACTTCTGCAATGGCTCCTGTCCTGGCTGTGGGCTGGCGGCCTTGCCCAGGGCTGCTGGGTTTCTTATGACGAGGCAGCAGCTTCCCCAGAACCCCATGCAGTGTGGGCGGGGAGCACCCCAGGGGTCAATACCAGGGGCATGGGCCATTGGGGGCCACCTGGGAGGTTTGCTATGTGCTCATGGTAACAGCGGTGGCTAACACTTCCTCTGTGTTGTGTGCTTAGAGCAGCGGTTTTCAACCCTTTTCATCTCCTGGCACGAAAACTAATTACTAAGATTCTGCGGCACACCCAAAAATTTATTTTTTACCGATCTGACCAAAAAAGTTACATATTTTGATGAATTCATACCAGGTGGCTATTGTTGTGCGGGCTACTGTCATTTTTTTATTTGACAATCTAAGGCAGGGGTCGGCAAACTCATCAGTCAACAGAGCCAAATATCAACAGGACAACGATTGAAATTTCTTTTGAGAGTCAAAATTTTTAAACTTAAACTATATCGGTAGGTACATTGTTATTAACTTAATCAGGGTCCTCCTAAGGCTTAGGAAGAGCCACACTCAAGGGGCCAAAGAGCCGCATGTGGCTCTCGAGCCGCAGTTTGCCGACCACGGATCTAAGGGAAAGGAGGTCAGGGCCCCTCACTAAGCAGCCAGGTGTCATGTGCTTTAAAAATCCCCTCGGCTCACGTTGAAAATCGCTGGCTTAGAACACAGCGACCGATACCTTCGGCCTCATCTCGTCCTGCCCCCTGAGAGCGAACCTGCTTGAAGGAGGGTCTTGCCAAAGGCTCTGGATCTGACAGGAAAGCGGGCAGGTTAAATCCCAGCTCCACCTCCACCAGCTGCGCGAACTCAGCAAGCTCCTCTGCCTCTCTACCCTCAGCGTCCTCCTCTGTAGGACAGTCAGTTGCCACGGACAGTGGTAAGAGGATTAAATGAGTTAGGGTTTGAAAAGTGCTGAGAACGATACTGGGCACACCGGCCGACTTGATATGAGTGTTTGTTGAACGTATAAATGAAACAGGGGCTCCCCCCAGCCTGCCTGCTTCTTAGGTGGGAAAACGGAGTTAGGGCACTTAGCAAACCTGCCAGATAGGGGTGGGACCCGGACTTGCACCAGGCTCTCTGGCCCCGGAGTCTGGGCTCTTAGCCACCAGCTTCAGCAGATAACGGTGAGTGCCAGCCCCCAGAGCCCTGGCATCGCCCTCCAGCTGCCTCTTTGTCCTCTCCCCACACAGAAAGCGGTGAGTTGGCCGGCTGCCTGCCCTGTCCCAGCCTGGGCACGTGCTGGGGGCCGGGGAGCTGGTGTCTGGGGCTGATGCCGGCTCTGCGCCCCCAGAAGGAGGCGCGGGCCACGACCCCACCCGTGGGAGTGGGCGAGCCCCGGGAGTTCGTGCTGCGGCCGGCCCCTCAGGGCCGCACAGTGCGCTGCCGGCTGACGCGGGACAAGAGGGGCATGGACCGGGGCCTGTACCCCTCCTACTTCCTGCACCTGGACTCCGAGAAAAAGGTGGGCCAGGAGGAGGTGAAGGGAGAGGGAGGCGGAGGTGCCAGGACCAGGTGGAGGGAGGGTCTGGGCCAAGATGCGGGGAGGGGCTGCCAGGGAAAGGCTTCTCCTCCCCGTCACCCACCTCCTCTGCCCTCTCTCACCGCCCCCACAGGTGTTCCTCTTGGCTGGCAGGAAGCGGAAACGGAGCAAGACGGCCAATTACCTCATGTCCAGCGACCCCACCAACCTGTCCCGAGGAGGGGAGAATTTTGTCGGGAAGCTGAGGTGGGCTGGGGGCTCAGGGCAGCAAGAGGCCTTGCGGTCTGCTCTGACCCCTGAGCCCACCGAGTGCCCACCACAGCGGACACCCGGCCCAGGGCCGCTCATACCGAGTAGCCCACGTGGGGGCTTTGTTAATGGTTCAGTTCTAACAGCCCCCCAGGTGGTGCCCACGCTGCTGGCCCAGGGACCTCACAGGCGGAGCGGCTGAGTTCCAGGGTGGAGGGCTGTGTTCATGTTGAGTTCCTGGCACCTGGCAGAACAGCTTCTCAGCAAATAGTTACTAAGTGAATGAATGAACAAGCATTTGGCACCTACCCTGTGCTATGTCTGCCGTACATCTCACCTAACCCTCACCACAAATCTGAGAGGTGGGGGCGGGACCCCTGAGTCAAGCCTTATTTCTCTTATTTATGTATTTTTTTTAAAGGTTTTTGTTTTTTTTTTTTTAATATATTTTATTGATTTTTTACAGAGAGTAAGGGAGAGAGATAGAGAGCTAGAAACATCGATGAAAGAGAAACATCGATCAGCTGTCTCCTGCACATCTCCCACTGGGGATGTGCCCGCAACCCAGGCACATGCCCCTGACCGGAATAGAACCTGGGACCCTTCAGTCCACAGGCTGACGCTCTATCCACTGAGCCAAACCGGTTTCGGCGCTTATTTATGTATTTAACAAACACTTACATAAGGCAGTAAGTTCCAGAGAAGAACCCACTGAATCCTCTTATCAACCATTTGGCTGTTCTTATACCCATTTTGCAGATGGGGTAGCTGAGGCTCAGATCAGTTAAGTAACTTGCCCAAGGTCACACAGCTAGTCAGAAATGGACCTGAGATCTGAAGGCTGCCCAGTGCCCTAGATCCATCTTTCTAAGACTCCAGGAGGGAAGGCTGGGGCGGGGACATGCAGTGCTCGTCCTCAGACACTTCACCCTGGGTGGTCCAGTAGCTCCCAGCACTGCTTGGCTGGAGGGTCTTGGAGTGGCGGCGTGGACCCCTGAGCCCGCCCCAGCTCCGCCTGCTTGCAGGTCCAACCTCCTGGGGAACCGCTTCACCGTCTTTGACAACGGGCAGAACCCGCGCCGCGGGGGAGGCGGCGCTGACGTGGGGAGCCTCCGGCAGGAGCTGGCAGCGGTGATTTACGTGAGTCTCCCCCGGTCCCGCCGCACCCCGCCCCCGGCAGGGCCGGCCTAATGCGCCCCTCCCTCCCAGGAAACCAACGTGCTGGGCTTCCGAGGTCCGCGGCGCATGACGGTCATCATTCCGGGCATGAATTCGGACAACGAGAGGGTCCCCATCCGGCCCCGAAATGTGAGCCCTGCACCTCCCTGACCCCCCTCCCTGAAGGCCCCACTCGCTATGGGACTCACCCCGGGGGAGCTGGGGCCGGGCAGTAGCGGGGCGTCAGCTTGCCCAACACCCCACCTCTTGAGCACACTCCACCCTCCAGGGCAAGTTTATTCTGGCCACTTGGGGGATGAATTCGAGGTTTTTGTCGTTGAATTCACGGAAACACAATGTTGTGTGGGTGTTTTAAGTTTACACCAAATCGCCCATTTACATATTCATTCACTTCACATACAGTATATTGAGGGCCAGGTAGTTAGGCTCCGAGAAGACATCAGTGGGCAATACGCAGGTCCCTCATGAAGCTGGCATTCTAGGGGAGCCAGTGCAAAGGCCCGGAGGCAGGGAGGTGCCTGATGGGTTTGAGGAACAGCAGGTGGCCCCTGTGGCTGGAGGGAGATAAGGTTAGAGGTGAGAGTGAGGGGCAGATAGGGCCTGTCTAACTGGTTTTTATAGGAGAGAAACAGGAAGCCAGAGAAGGGTTTTGAGCAAAGGAGTGGCATGATTTGCCTTACATTTTAAAAGCGAAGGGGGTGTGTGTAGGGTAAGACGGAGAGATGTCCTGCAGGAAGGCGGCTTCCTTCAGTCCGTCTCTCGCCCTGCTCCTTAGCACTGTGGGTCGGTCCAGGATGAGCTCTAGCTGGTTTGGCTCAGTGGATACAGCGTCGGCCTGCGGACTGAAGGGTCCCGGGTTTGATTCCAGCCAGCAGCACAGGCTCAGGTTGCAGGCTCGATCCCCAGTGTGGGGCGTGCAGGAGGCAGCCAATCAATGCTTCTCTCTCATCATTGATGTTTCTATCCCTCTCTCCCTTCCTCTCTGAAATCAATAAAAATATATAAAAGACGCAGGATGACTGGCGTGCCCCATACTCGCAGTGGTGCCCTTTCACTCATTTACACGGAAAAACGAATATCCCTCTGGGCTGGTCACACAGCCTTTCCTGCTGGAAAGTCACAGGTAGTCAGGCCCAGCAGACCCAGGGGCACTGGCCACGGGAGGTCCTGGTCTGGAGGGCCTGTGGGTCCCACGCCTGCTCCTTCCACGCCTGCTCCTGCCACGCCTGGAGTGAACATCACCCCCCCACCCCGAGGCAGTGTCCCCGCACCCCTGGGCTCAGTGAGAACCACCCAGCGCTGCTGTGGGCGCCCTTCACCACCTCAGGTCCTTCATTACACAACCACTGGTTAAAACCGGGCTCTGGAGATCCAAAATCAGCACAACAGTGACCGTCAAAACAGTATCTGATCTTCAGGGAACAGTTACTCTGGTCCAGGAACGGATTTAAATCACACGTCCTGTGCTGTTAACTTATTCAGTCCTCACAACGGAGGGAAACCGAGGCACAGAGATATGACACAAATACTGTGCCTGCCTCAGTGTCTGTCCTTTACACGCAGTGCGAGAAGTGAGCACGTGTCATGGAAGGTCAGCGCTAAAACACTTAAATCAGACACGGGGTCAGGAAGGCTTCTTGGGGGATATTATTTTTTTAAATTTTTTAAATTGATTTTGAGACAGAGGAAGGGAGAGAGACAGAGAAACATTAATGTGAGAGCGGCACGCCCATCAGCTGCCTCCTGCATGCCCTTCACTGGGGCCTGAGCTCGAGACCCCGCCTGTGCCCTGACCGGCAGCCCCTCAGTGCCAGGGACGACGCCCAGCCCACTGAGCCCCACAGGACATGATCTTGAGTAGACTCACTCCAGACCATGAAGGTAACGTGACAGTTGCCAAGGAAACTCATTAAAGAAATGTCTCAAGAGCACCCGTACACAGGCCACTCCTTCCTTCCAGAAACTCTCCCAGGACACATTATCGTAATCACTGTTTACCTGTGTAGCTCCCCGAGCTCAACTGTGCACTCCTTGTAGGTTCCAGAATGTTTGGTTCATCCTGGTGATCAGGTGCCAGCATGGAAGGACCCTTGGATACGGATGGCACAGAGCACCTACTGTGTGCCAGGTGCTACTTTCCATTTTCTTTTTTTAATGCTCTTAAAAAATATATATATATATATATTTTAAGTAGTTTCTTGACATTCTTCACTGTGGTATTTTTAATGACATATTTAACATTGCTATATATGGCAAAAAAAAAGGCAACTAAATGTTAACAAACACAAAGTAAAACCATCTTGTATAATTCAGTTAGACTTATGTAAATTAAGTTCAAATAGAAGTCTGTCAGATGTGAGAAGAAACTAGTAACTGAGGTGGTAAGTGAAATGGGGAAACCAGTGTTGAAGACATGATTGATCCAAGGGACAAACATACAATCCTTAGAGTCAAGATTAAACATAAGTCCCAAGGCAACTAAATATTCATTTTTTTTCAATTTAAGATAAATCTCTGGATACAAGAGTCTTAATTCTTTAAGTAAACCACAGGTAACTGATTATGAAAATGAGGAAACAGAGGGCAGTTAGGTAGTCAGGAGTGGGTAAAACAATATTTTTTATTGATTTCAGAGAGGACGTGCGAAGGAGAGAGAGCTAGAAACATCGATGATGAGAGAGAATTCATTGATTGGCTACCTGCTTCACGCCCCACACTGGGGATTGAGCCTGCAACCCCGGGCATGTGCCCTGACCGGGAATTGAACTGTGACCTCCTGGTTCATAGGTCAATACTCAACCATTGAGCCACGCCGGCTGGGCTACTTTCCATTTTCCACCCTCCACTTTACATCCCATGGCAAGCCCCATTCCCACAGATGCACACCCTGCCCACAAGGGTACCAGAAGCCACGCATGCTCTCAAGGATACCCCAAGTCAAGGATACCCCAAGTGGATGCTGATTACAGGCTGTGCAAGGGCACACATAGGTCCCAGGCCCCACCCCTGTCAGTCCTGAGATATCCCACCCCCTGACCATCCTCTCCCAATACCTCCCGGCCCCCCAGGCCAGCGATGGGCTGCTGGTGCGCTGGCAGAACAAGACTCTGGAGAGACTCATTGAGCTGCACAACAAGCCACCATTGTGGAACGAAGCCACTGGCTCCTACACCCTCAACTTCCAAGGCAGAGTCACGCAGGCCTCCGTCAAGAACTTCCAGATCGTGCACTCTGACGACCGTGAGTACAAGGGCCGAGACCAGCTGGCCCCACCGCCTCCGGCCCCGGCCCTGGCTCAGGCCTTTGCCCACCATCTTCTCTCCCCGGAGCCAGAACATCTAGAAAGGTGGCTCTTTTCTCCAGGGGCACTGACACTGTGCCCTCAGGAGCCTCAGGGATTCCACGCAGGTGTCTTAGGCTCATTCTTCCAGGCCCTCGTTCTAGCATTTACCAGAGTCCTGGGCAGAAACTGGGATATTCTGGGTAAGACTGTGTCGAAGGGAGAGTTAAGCTGCTGGAGTTTGAAAACCACTCACAGCCCAACGCAGGTCATCGAGGGTGCTGGGCCCAGAGCGGGCAGCCCTTGCCCGGGCTCCTCAGATTCTACTTCACAGACACTTACACGGTCTTTTCTGTGTGGCAGGCACTGTCCTCAGGGTTTCACAGAGATGGAATCATTAGATCTTTTCAACAACCCTGCGAGGAAGGTACTTAGTACTATTATCCCCACTTGGCAGATGAGAAAACTGAGGAACAGAGAGGTTCGGTAACTTGCCCAAGATCACACAGCTAGTAAGAGGTCACGCTGGAATCGGAACCCCCTTAGACCTTTAGGAGTAGGGAATTTTTTTAAAAATATATTTCTTTATTGATTTCAGAGAGGAAGGGAGAAGGAGAGAGAAGTAGAAACATCAATGATGAGAGAGAATCATTGATTGGCTGCCTCCTGAATACCCCGCCACTGGGGATCGAGCCCGCAACCCAGGCATGTGCCCTTGGCCAGAATCGAACCCGGGACCCTTCAATCCACAGGCTGACGCTCTATTCACTGAGCCAAGCCAGCCAGGGCTAGGAGTAGGGAATATTAATCAAGCCTTTCTGAGCGCCTACTCTACTGTCTTCTCTCAAAGGAGGTGAAAGGCCTGCCCTTGAAGATTTAGGGCAACAAGCTGCACCCATAACATAAATTAAGTAAAAACGTCCCCGTTACAAGCGTGGGGAGAGGTCTGCACTAGGTTAAGGAAGCTTGGGAATGGAAAGGTGTCTCCCAAGGGACCCAGGTTCCCAGGGCAGCTAACAGGGAGCAACTTCCCCATCCCCCACTCGATCCTAGAGATGTGCTCCCAGTGTCACCTGTCCCCAGGCCTTGGATAACTGCTCTCCAGATCACATTTCTGGTGGAGCCTGGTCTGATGAGGTTGGGGGTATTTTTAGCAACTTCCTGTCCCTATGGATGCTGGGGGAGGCCACAGGATGAAGAGGGAACCAGGGGGTTATTCCGGGATTGAGCCTGGTGCTCTGAGATGGGACTGGGGGTGGGTTGGGGAGGAAAATGGGGTCAGAATGCAGCAGAAAAGTTGGCAAGGGAGGAATCTAGGTTTGGGGAAGTTTGACAGATTCCTATTCTTAAGTGTCGGTTCGTGCATAGCCCCGGCGGCAGAAGATAAGGCCGGTCCCTGTCCTCAGGGGCTTACAGTAAGCTGCAGGTGGGGCAGGTATAAGGAAGGCGGCTGAGTACTGAGGTCCCCAGGCCCGGGAGGGGAACTGCCCCGCGGTCGAGGGCATGGATTGCCAGGCAGGGTCCAGGGCTGAGACGCCCGCCCTGCTGGTCCACAGCTGACTACATCGTGCTGCAGTTCGGCCGCGTGGCCGAGGACGCCTTCACCCTAGACTACCGGTACCCGCTGTGCGCCCTGCAGGCCTTCGCCATCGCCCTCTCCAGCTTCGACGGGAAGCTCGCTTGCGAGTGACGGCGGCGGCACCCCAAGTCCCAGAGCCGCCGGGATCGGAAAGGACTCGGTGGAGGCTTCAGGGTCCCCTCACCAAAGCCCCCACTGAGGACGCCTCCTGTGTCGGGAGCTGACCCCTAATGCCTCCAGGTGACCCCCATCCACTCCCCGGCCTGGCAGAGGCCGAGCGGGGGGCGGAGCTCAGACGGCGGGTGCGGAGCAGATGAAGAACATCTGGAGCCGGCACCCCAAGTCCCAGAGCCGCCGGGATCGGAAAGGACTCGGTGGAGGCTTCAGGGTCCCCTCACCAAAGCCCCCACTGAGGACGCCTCCTGTGTCGGGAGCTGACCCCTAATGCCTCCAGGTGACCCCCATCCACTCCCCGGCCTGGCAGAGGCCGAGCGGGGGGCGGAGCTCAGACGGCGGGTGCGGAGCAGATGAAGAACATCTGGAGCCGGAGCCGCACATCTGGCGCAGCGCTC